TGTTCTGTTACTGTTTTTAGATTTAGTAAAGTTCTTGATAGAGCTTATTTTGTCTGTTTATAAGAATACTCTCAGTCCTTACAAAATGGTCAGGAGAGAGAGTGCATTGATCTTTAGTATCAATTTTTCTTTTTTCAAATGTATAAAAAAAAATAAATATAACGAATGTATAAAAAAAAAAAAAAAAATATTGAATATACAAAAAAAATAATAAAAAATTAAAATAAAAAAAAAATACCTTTCTTGACATAGAAGATTACATATGACAGTATATATAACTCCCACACTATATTGAGAAGTTTTAAATGATTGAAACTAATTTAAATTTATCATCAATCCTATATAGCTATTAGCTATTTCAGAATGCAAAAATAGTATCCCTTCATCATCAGAGAATGATTTCCATATTCTGCTATCATAAATATCTAATAATTGGGCTTTGAAAGGTCAATAGACCCATCTCCTGCATACTTCTTCAAATCCAAGTTGCTGGAATAGCTTTTGGAGCTATTGCTTGAGATTTATTATGAAATAAGTTGATATCGGCTTCCTGATTATGCCATCTTTTATTCTGACTTTTGTTGAAAGTATTGCACCACATAGTACCTATCTGCTGATATTCATATAGTTTGGAAACTCCACATGGGTACAATTAATTATTTTCAGATTTTGTTTTGCCTTTTTTATTATAATATCTTTTGGATTATATAATTTACAACAAGATTCATATACGGCGAATCTTGTTGTACAATCAGATATACCAATAATATTTTTTGCTATATTAATTGAAGTAGGAAAACTATCATATTTTTTCTTGCTAATATTGGTTAACAAAAACTGAAAATATTTAAACAAAACATTAATACTTGTATCAGAATGCTGATATTTTTGTTGGTAATGGAAAATCTATAATATAATTTACAGCATATCTTTATTAACATTTTGGATATTAGCTTCTAGGCTATCATCTACATCAGATGCATCAAAATTTATTACATCCTCTTCTTCACTCTCTTCTTCAGTTTCATAATCTTTATCACTTCTTATATTATTGTTTTTATTGTCATCATCAGAAAAGAATGACAAATCTTCACCAGAATAAAACAAAGATAATTTTGCATTATGAAAATCTTTGGGTAGCTGCTTGACAAGGAACTGAAGATTTTCAAGCTGAGGAAGAGGCAAAAAATTGCATGTCTCATTATCTGATGTTTCACCATCTGTTGAACTAATATCCTAACTCATGAAAGCAATATTCTGATCTATTAAAGCAACTTCATTTATCATATTTGAAGACTCTTCACTGTTAGAGGTATCTTCTGGCTGATATCTAACTTGGCAGTTTGATATAATTTGTTTTTCCTTTATTTTAAGAAGTTTTTGTTCTTGTGCTTCATGTTCTGCTTTAACTCTTAGATCTTTTTTTTGACTATTGCACATACTACAGAAATATAGCACTTTGCTATGCTTACATTTTTTTGTTTGTAATACAGCAGGTTTTTTTCAATTACTTTATTTTTTTTATAAGTCATAATAGAGATATCAATATTGAACGACAAAGTAATGATATTATGAAACAACACCCCTTAGCCTATTTATATTTAGTTTATTAAGCTTAATGGTTTATGCTTTGATACAAATAAAATTTATTAGAAGTTTATTTGTTTTGTTTTATTATTAACAGATTATTCAGTTTTCGAATACTATTCAATATGCATATCAGAATAAAGAAACAAATTTTTTGAAATGACAAAACTTAATTAAAAATTTATTTTGTTTTGTTTTTTTTTATTTTTAACAAATTTTTCGAAATGACGAAATTTATTTTGTTCTTTGTTTTATATTAATAAAATTTTCAAAATAGAGAGCAATGATAAAATTTAATTAAAAGTTTATTTTGTTTTGTTTTGTTTATTGTTAACAAATTTTTAATTTCTAATACACATATCAAACCAAAATGATAATAATAATGATAAAATCAAAAGTTTATTTTTGTTTTTATAAATTTATATTTTCTAATACTATTCAATACATATATTGAATAAAAAAATATAACAAGAATAACAAAATTAATTAAAAGTTATATTTTTTATTATATAATATTTAGACTATATCAAAGCAAAAGTAATAGAATCAAAGTTTATATTGTTTTGCAAATTTTATTAAGATGATTAATATGTTTTATACGTGTATCGGCAAAACATATATTATACTTAACCTTTAATATAAAAATCAGAGGCAAAGTATATCAGAAATATTATCAATATACGTATCAGCAAAATAAATACTTCTCTTAACCTTTAATATTTTGCATATTTTTAATTATTTATTCATAAATAAAAATGTATACACATAAAAACAATAGATCTTATATAAACATACTGATATTTATATATTTTGTTTATTTAATTTACAATGATAGATCTTATATAAACATACTATATATATATTTGGATATTTAATTTACAATGATCAATCACATGCATGCATGGTTGTTATTTAATTAAAAACTAAGAGGGTAAAAGAATAAAATATGCTAATAATTGCAACTGATATGAATATTTCTTTAGTAATAAATACTATAATATGATATTATGAGTGCTTCTAAAGAAAATTAGACTTCAGGTTTTCAAATTTAGAATTTACCAAACTCAGGAATTGTCTAGTAAGTTAAAAACTTGAAAGTCTGAAGTAATTGAATTAGATGTCATATAACATTGAATTAATCGAATGATGATTATAGTTCTATTTCTTTAATTACGTGTATACAAGAATATAATAATCATGAAAATTATCAGTTATACTACATAGCTTTATTTCTTTAATTCGTGTTTACAAAAATATAATGATAATGAAAATTATCAGTTTACGTATAATAGTATCTTTTGTTAAATATAAAAATTAACTGTTTTCGCATTTCTTTCATTAAATATAAAAAGTAACTATTTTCACATTTCTTTCTTTCTCATATTTTTTTTACTAGTATTACTTTCATGAGTAAATATTTTTTTTCGCATAGCACTTTTTTATTTCTCCTTGTTAACTTTTTTTTTTTCTTCTCACTAGTATTACTTTTATGAGTAAATATTCTTTTGCATAACTCCTTTTCATTTTTCTTGTTAACTTTCTTTAATTGACAAGCCTTTTTTCATTTTCGATAATAATTTTCCCCTTTTCTTCTCTCTGCTATTCCAAATAAAGGTAGATATATCTTTCACTATTCAAACAATTCTTTTTTATATTCTCATTATTTATTTATTTTTTTTGATTTTTCTATCAGCTTTCTAATACAAGTAGGCACTTCTTTCAATAATTACTTTTTGTTTTGAGATTCCTATTTGAAAGAATATAGGGATATCGAATTTATTAACTTTACTTTCTTATAGTTTTTTAACTATAGGTAAATATTTTTTCAATATTCATTGCTCTTTTTTTTTTTTTGAGGATTATAGAAGTATCAGATTTTCTGCATTTGTTTTTTTTTAGTTTTAAAATTTTGGAAATTTTAGAAATTTTGGTCGTTTTTTATCTGATAACTATATCATAGTGAAAAAATTAACTTTTTTCTGTTTTGAACCTTCTTTAAGATTATGCCAAATAATATATTTAAGAAAAAGTATTGTTCATATTCCTGTTCTAGCTCCTATTCACCAAATTCCTACTTTCATTATCACAAACGTTATTTTTGTTCTTGTTCACATACCTGCTATTCTCGTTTACATATTCATCATTTATATTCACTTTCACGTACTTGCTATTCTCATTCACATACTCATTGTTCACATTTACATTCATGTACCTGCTATTCCAGTTCATATACTTGATATTCTCATACTTATGATTTTCACTTACCTTCTTATAAAAGATCACATAATCGTAATCATGATGGGTCAAGGGATGTTGAAGGTACATTTTTTATTATAAGGCCATGCAAATTTAATTAATTGGTTCTCATAACCTAGTCGACTTTTTTTTAAAATTTTATATAACGATTTATAAAAATTTTATAAAATTTTTATAAATCATTATATATAAAATTTTAAAAAAAAGCTGACTGGGTTATAAGAACTAATTAATTAAATTTGCATAGCCTTATAATAAGAGTGATAAGGATATTGGCTGTATAATATTAATACAAATCTTATCATATGACAATTTTAGAAAGAAGAGCATTGAGAGAAGGTAAGCAATAATGACTTTATTATTTAAAATACGAATATCAGCTAATAATTATTGCTAATATTTTAGAAAATTTAGCTCTAAGATCCTAAGTTGCCTTGTTTAAAGAAAGACTAGAATGTCTTAAAAGGGTCCAATCATCTGACGCCTTGTCTGAACATCTTGAAAGGGCCCAATCATCTGACGTCTTGTCTGAAGAAAGACTAGGACATCTTGAAAGGATCCAATCATCTACTGTAGCAGACTTATTAGATGAAATAAATATTGACAATAATAATATTAATAAAAATAGTAAAAATAGAAATAATAGCAAAGTCGTAAAGATAAGGAAAGAGAAAATTCATTCTCACCTGGCAAGTCATATGATCCAACCCAGACAAGGTTTAAGTATGGGCAATTAGTGCCAATAGATGCTGAGTATAAGAAATGTTTAGAGTCTTTTTTTTTTTTTTTTTTTTTTTTTTTTTTTTAATAATATTAATTTTGAATTATATAATATACTTTTAAAAAATAAAGAAGGGCTTTAGAGAGTCGAACAAAGGGCATATT